GTATCAGGGACAATCCAGGTGTATCAGGGACACTCCAGGTATATCAGGGACACTCCAGGTGTGACAGGGACACCCCAGATGTGTGTCAGGAACACCCCAGGTGTGACAGGGACACCTCAGGTGTATCAGAGACACTCCAGGTGTGACAGGGACACCCCAGCTGTGACAGGGACAGCCCAGGTGTGTGACAGGGACACCCCAGGTATATCAGGGACACCCCAGGTGTGTGTCAGGGACATCCCAGGTGTGTCAGGGACATCCCAGTTGTACCAGGGACACTCCAGGTGTGACAGGGACACCCCAGATGTGTGTCAGGAACACCTCAGGTGTGATAGGGACAGCCCAGGTGTGACAGGGACACCAGGTGTGTGTCAGGGACACTCCAGGTATGACAGGGACACCTCAGGTGTATCAGGGACACCCCAGGTGTGACAGGGACACCACGTGTGAGTGTCCTGCTGCAGGGACAGGGCACACACAGCCCCTGTCTCGGGGCACGCCCCTGCCCAGCACCTGCAGCACGAACTGGTCGGGCTCGCTCAGCTTGCCGGGGTTCTCCTTGTAGCTCTGGAAGCGCTGCACCTCCTCCCCGTCCGGGGCGTAGAGCAGGAGCTGCTTGATGTGGGACGGCTCCAGGCGATCCGTCTCCATGGTCATCAGGATCTGCCGCAGCTCCACGTGCGACAGCTTCAGGTGGGCGATCAGGATGGCTGGGGAGGGAGGCACACACCGTCACTGCGGGGACACCAACCTCGCCCCCGAGGGAGAGCTCAGCCCTGGGCTGCCCATCACTCCCCGGGACCTGCACAGGCCTCACAGGGACACCACGGGTGGCTCTGGTCCCACACCCAGCCGGGGAGGGGTCCCTGGCAGGGGGGTCCCACCAAGCCCACACACCCTCCTCCCTACCTGAAGCACATCCTGGAGAAGCAGCAGTGCCCCTCCACTGCCCCTGCCCAGGACAGGGAGCCACATCCCATCTCCATCCTTCCCCAGAGAGCTCCCTCCTTCCCCTGCCCGGGGCTGAAGGCAGCCTGGGGCAGCTCTGGGCTGCAGGAAAAGTCCATCCCAGCTGAGCTGGGCTCATGGGATCGTGCCCATGGCATTGAGCTCCTAAAGCCCATCCCAGCTGAGCTGGGCTCATGGGATCGTGCCCATGGCATTGAGCTCCTAAAGTCCATCCCAGCTAAGCCAGGCTCATCGATCGTGCCCATGGCATTGAGCTCCTAAAGCCCATCCCAGCTAAGCCAGGCTCATCGATCGTGCCCATGGCATTGAGCTCCTGCTCCTCCCCTTTACCTTTCCAGTTCTCTACATCCCACCTGTGGCTACCTTCACCGTGGGCTTCACTTACATGTGTTGTAGGCCTTTTTGTGGGACAAAATTTCAACCACGTCTTTCTTTTTAAAGTTTTCAGGCATGAGAGTTGGCTCTGGAAGAGAAACTGAAAGATTTAATGGTGGGTAAGGACAGGCTCAGGCGGCTCCAGCGGGAGAAAACCTGCCCTGCAGACAGTGAAACCATGAATGAGAGAGAGGAGAGCGGATGCTTTGCACACAGCAATGGCTCCAGGAATCCTTGAATTCTGCGATTCAAAGATCTCCCCAGTTCAGTTGGTGCTGAAAAAGGTAAAACCAGAGGTGAAACACACAGAAAACCCCAGACTGCTCAGAAACATCCTAAAAACAGTGTCCCCTGAGATGAGCTCCACTTCACCCACTGCCAGCTGGGCATCGTGGCCGTGCCAGGAGAGCTCAGACATCCCACGTTTTTACTGGAATGCCTCCCTCGGG